TATGCGTGTTATAAACAAAAAGAATGAAATAGGCCCCAATGGTCAAGAAATTTCCAGCCTTAAATCACAATCAAGTTATAAAGAAGAAATTGGGGTGGTATATATTCTGTTATTAACTAACTACTACTTCCTATTCCCTGCCCCAACCCCTTAGAATGAGAAAACTATAAGAGGAAGTGATCAAAGTCCATTTTTCATTCTTAAATGGATTAATGTGAATTTTTCATTTACACTCCCCTCTGAGATTGAAGTCTATTTAAAAAGGGATTTTATGCCTTGTTGTAAAAGCTTTTTGGTCATTGAATACGAAGTTCTTGTTTCTAAAGATGTCTTTTGCTCAATCAAGTTTGAGTGTAACTGCTGTGCTTATTCATTCATGCTGCTTGTTCCAAGCCATCGCTTTGCTCAGGACAAGGGTGTGATGTTAGTAGAGAGGGAACTGCCATAAATGGGACCTGTATGTGTCAGACACTCTACTTACATTTCCTGTCCAGTGCTTACAACATCCCCACAAAGGAGTATTGCTGTCGCTTCTTTGAAGATGAAAAAGCAGACTGACAGGGTGAGTAAAGGATCCTGAGTCACATGGCCATAAGTAGCAGAACCCACGACAGCCTGTGCTCTTTGCTCAACACCAAGCTGCCTTCCAGAGCTCTCAGTTCTGTGCAGTTCATTACGGTCCTTTATGGCTTTGGTAGAGGCTGAAACTTTGGCTACTTGGAGAGTACAAGGTTGAGGGCGATTTTCAAAGGACAGTGTGTGATACCACACATTTTCCAAACTTCTTTTCCATTACTCCTAATTGCTCAACATTCGTTCATCAACAATTTGTTAAGCATGTGTCATGTGCAAGCATTAGTTATCTCAGATAGTTATGTGAGTAGGTTCAGGTTTTAGCACTCTGTCCATCTGGAGGAGAAGGGGGAAGGGGCGCCTCTTTTCTGCTCTAGCCAGAGAGCAAGGGCACAGTGGCCCAGGGCAGAGCCTGCTCCGCCCAGGACTGGGGGCCCATGCATGCTCAGGCGCGTACCTGATCTGTCCTATGAAGTATGCTTGACCTTGAGTTTTGTGGAGGCAGCAACCATGTCTGTTTTGTGCCCCACACAGAGTCAGGCCCAGAGCAGGTATTCAATGACGGTTGGATGAATGATTAAGCAATTCCTTTACCAATCCACAAGACCGTGGGCCGATTACTTCAATGCTCTGTGCCTTAATTTCCTCATGTGTAAATGGGGATAAAGAGAGTACCCATTCCACATGGCAACTCTGAGATCCCATGAGACCATACAATGCACACAGCGAGCACTCAATACTCAGGAGTCGCCATTCCCATTATTACTGTTGGGAGGGATGAGAAGCACATCCTTCTATGGCAAGAGTGGCCTCCTGTCCCCTTTCACCCGGTGACCTGGGGTTTTATTCCTTAAAGCAGAGCTGAAGGCTAGATGATCCAGCCGCATGGAGCTCACTCTTCTCTGTTGGGAAATCTTGGTCTGAGCCCCTGAGGAGGAGGAGGACACAGTCACCCTGGGAGGACATACACCCAGAGCCTCCACCCCGCACAGAGTGAGCCCATTGGTTCCCACAGTCCACTCTGTCCAGGGGGTGGGGGTTATGTTTCAGAAATGTTAGGGTATGACCCGAGATCACAGGTTCAGAGGAGCGCCAGCTCTCTGCTCGCCAGGCCGTCCATTAGCCTCGGCGCGGCTGAGCAGATGTATGTCAGCGTGTGCGTGTGTGCGCACACATGCGCCGAGACCCAAGGCACAGAGCTGTCCCATCACGAAAAAGACTATCTCCCGCTGAGTCTGTCATGTCACTGTCAGACACAGAGAGTTCCTTGGGGCCCTGGATAGCGGGGCCCCAAGATACACCCTTCAAACCCCCAAGGGCTGGGGGCAGGCAGGACCTGGATCAAGAATAGCCCTGTGGAGAAGGGGCCTGTCTTCAGGCTGACAGCTGACTTACTAGGGCTGCAGCTCTATGAGCCGCAACAGGAACTCTGTCTGCCAAGCCCGTGTCCTCTGCAGGCCCTTTGCAGCTTCCTAAAAAGACTTATTGGGCACAGCAACTCCCCAGGGGAGGGCCCAGCCCTGGAGCCAATCACAGGGAGCCGTGAGGTCCAGCTGCTTTCCTCTGCGGGCAGGAGCGGGACCTCCAAAGGGAGAGAGCAGCCTGCAGGGGCCCCCGGCAGACGGCTGCCATACACACGTGGACACCTCCCATGAAGCACGCTATTGACAGGGCTTTCTTGAGCCCTTCTTCATGGAAGCAAGGGGACCTAGAGCTGGGGCTGCACAGCCTCCAATGAGAGAATGGTGGCCTGTTGGCCCTTGCCTCGCCCTTCCCAGCACCCCAGTTCAGAGCACCTTTCCCTGCTCCAGCCCCTAAAGAGACCAAGCTCGACCCACTACTTGAGCCGGCTTCCTAGGCAAGCAACCTGTGCAGTCACACAGGGCCCACGCCTGCTTTTAATGTTCTGATATTGATGTCTTGAAATTCTTAATTTTTGAACACAGGGGCTCCTGCTTTTTCAGTTTTGCATGGCGCCTGCAAATTAGGCGGCCAGTCCTGCCCATGACCTTTGCTTGTGCGATGTCTAGTTCCACACCTGACAGCTTCCTCTTTTCATTCTGTCATTACGTGTCATCTATCCTCCTCTAACGCAGAGTCCTGACAGAAAAGTTCAAAAAGCCACGAAGGAGAGAAACCGCATTATCTTTGGAGGAGCTTTCCTGCTCCGCTGCGGGCGGAACAGTGATGATCGATAACGGACACTTTGATCCCCCTACCGAGCTTGAGATCTTCTGGGAGCCGCCCGAGGTGGAAGGCTGTGACAGAGGCCTCCTACCCCAAGTCCTAGTGTCACACTCCTTGATGACGTGCAGGGGATGGAATTTAATAAGTTCATTTTGTCCGGCCTTTGGAGTTCACATTCAAAGCGGGACATGTCTACAAGTTTGAGTTCAAAGACCTGAACTGATAACTCGCATGCCCTTTTACTTGCTATGACTTCAGACAAACCCCAGTCTCAGAGCCTCAGTTTACTCTCCTGCAAAATGGGTCACAGTCCACATTATGAGGCTTTGGAGTTTCTATTGCCCATCTTGCTGTGTGTTGGAACAGATCCCAAGCCTTTTCCGGCACTTTGGCCAGTGAGTTTGTTTGGGAAGTGGGTGGCCATTAATTCAGGCTCATGTCCTATTTACCTTTTCCAACCCCTGGGCTGGCCAGGCCCATGAATCGTGCTGTACAGTTCTGGACAGTTTGCGACCTTTCCCCTGAAGCCCAATCAGGGACCCCAGGTGAAGCAGCCCTACTCTGGGTGGTCTTAGATTTCTCCTTGGATTGTGCCTGAAGGGCGGAGAGCCAGGTTCCTGCCCAAACTGGTTTTCTTCTGCCGAGCTGTGCTTGGACGTCCCGCCTGCGGCCAACCCCAGAGGCGCCAGGAGAGGCCGCCTCACTGCCGTCTTTAGGACAAGGTGTTCTCACGCACTTTGTCTTCGACATCATGGAGTGACTCTGTTGTGGAAGAAAGTGTCTAGGAGGGGCTTCTCTCAGGTCTCAGTACTCAGGAACACTGAGCTTCTGCAGAATAAATTTGTCACTCTGCACTGTGGCCCTGAGTGCTGAGCGGCTGGGACACTCAGAGCCGGATGTCAGGGCCTCCCTGGCACGAGGCAGAACCCTGGGCAGGACCGTCGGCGGCCAGCCGCCCCTCAGCTTGGTCATCGCGCAGGCCCTCCTCCCCGTGCTTTCTGCTTGCCTCAGTTCCCTTGTCTTCTCGTTCCACACTTGTTTATGTATCCTTATACACACCTCTCTCTGGTGCGGAATAGGGTGTGATAGAAATATGTGAATTCATTTTTAAATCTATTTCAGCCCTGGCTGGGTGGCTCAGCTGGTTAGAGCATCATCCCACGCACCAAAAGGTTGTGGGTTTGATCCCCAGCTGGGGTGCGTACAGGAGCCAAGCAATTGATGTTTCTCTGTCTCAAATCAATAAAGATATCCTCAGGTAGGGATTTAAAAAATCTATTTCAGGGAAGTTGTGAGGATTAGGAACTGAATTGCTTTGCAGACATCATGGAAGTAGCACCATCCTTGAGTAGAGCTGGGATGGGGCGGTGGAGGTGGGAGGCAGGGGGTCTTTCCTCTGGACCCATTGTCTGGCCACACGCAGCCTCCTGACCCAGACTCATTGGCACCTGTTTATGTTTTTAAATAAATAAAAGCTCATCAAACATGTTGAAATGTTTGCAGCCTCCCTTGAGATTTTGCTGAGTTGGTTTAAGAGCTGGGAGGAGCTGGAAGTCTGGTAGAAGGCCTGATTTTATGTGGCAACCAACAGATTCTTGTTAGAGCTGCAGCAGCCCATGGGCCTTGGGCAGTGGGAGGGCCCCACTCTCCTGGGAAGGGGGGCGGAGGAGTGTAGATGAGAGATAAGGCACCTCTGCTCAGGGAAGTCCTGGATGGGGCCCCAGATGGGGCCTCAAGCTTGGCTTCTGTTGTGAATGGACCAGGGACCACCGGGTTTCCGGAGGAGTTTGCTCAGAGTATATAACCACAGACTCCCTGGGACCACTTGCCCTTTCTGACAAAGCAGAGGAAACTTCTACACCGGGACCCAGTGACCGTGCCCCCTGTCCTGCCCCTCGGGAGTTTATAACACCTTCTGACGCCTTCTGAAGTAGACATGCCACCTCTGCTTCACACTACTTTGCAGCTGAGGGCCACCAGTCGCAGCCCTAGTCTCAGCTCACTTCCCGCTGGGTGATGTGAGCGGAGCCAAAGGCATCGCCGTCCCTCTCAGAAGGCGAAGGGGTGTCTCTGGGAGGACAGTGACTTGCCCCACTAGGAGGTAGTCAGGAGTCAACCCTGGGGCTGGGAGGCGCGTGCCCTTTGTGCAGAGGTGGGCCTCTGCTGGCTGCTGCTCATACTCCCTGGGGCCGGGCCTGCTGGGGAGCTGGGCTCACATGTCTCTCTGTGTCCTCTGGCAGTGGAACCTGGTGTGTGAGGAAGACTGGAAGACGCCCCTTACCTCCTCCCTGTTTTTCGTGGGCGTGCTCCTTGGCTCCTTCGTGTCCGGGCAGCTGTCAGACAGGTAAGGAGGTAACAGGGAGGAAAGGTGGGATAAAGCCCCTTGTCACTTCGTTGCCTGAGTCAGAGTTGGACTGACTTCAGGGTATTTCTACCCAGAGAAAGGGCGGCCCCTCAGGCCAACAAGTCAGTGATGGGAGGAGCCATGATGTCTCCTGTTCTTCCTGCTCTCGGCCCCTTTGCGGAACCACTGGAAAGTGGGGTCCTCCTATCACCAAACCCCTCAGAAAAGGCACGCTGCCATCGCCACTGCCTCCACCCCACCCCTGACTCTCGGGCGGTGTGTGATCCGCCCGCAAGCAGCCATCAGCCCAAGCCAGGGCCCGACAGTGGGCATCGCTTGCTCACTGTGCACCCATCTCTGCTGTGGGTCGGGCCCTGGAGCCCACAGCCTGGAGGGGACGGTGGCACAGCTCGGGGAGAAGTGCCCCGCTGGCCCCTGAATGTTCTGTGGGGACCAGAGCCAGGGGGCAGGAGAGCTGAATGCCAGTGCTGGCGGAGACTCCCCAAGAGGCGGCGCTCCCTCCCCTAGTTACAAAGCCCAATGGGACCCCAAACTCAACAGCCTGAGGCCTCAGTTTGGAAAATGGGGTGGGAGGTGCTCACACGTGTGCTCCGTTCCTCCCATCAGCCACTGTCAGAATGTGAAATTGAGACTTAAGCCAACTACGGGGTCACTGATGGATATCGCTGGAAGGTACACATCCATACACAAACAGTGGTTTGTGATATTGGTTGCACATTAGACTCACCTGGAAAAACTGTTTAGATCCCAACGTCCAAACTGCACCTCAGACAATAAGGGCCTCAGGAGGCAGGTGCGAGCAGCAGTGATTTTTGAAGGTGATTCCAAGCGCAGCTGGGGTTGAGGGCCACTGCCGGGGAGGGAATCTTGGTGCTGGATTGGCAGAATTCCCACGTTGCTGGTAGCAAAGGGGCCTGCAATCTGTACTGCATCCACCTTCTAGAACTGTGGTGAGAACTTCTACCTGTGGCCTGTTCTAAAGACATTTCTACGTGGCCCCTGCTTGGTGCTTTTGCGATATGGTGCTTCCGCAGGAGGCCTAGAGTCTCAAAGGGTGACTCTGGGCACATGGAGGCCTGAGGCCTCCCAAGAAGACCTGCGCGGACGTGAATGGCAGGGGGAAAAGTCTGTCTGAGCCCCGAAAAAATCAAAGCCTGCAGTGCTGCCTGACTGTGACCGGCCTGTGCCACGCATTGTACTGTGACTGCCATGTGCCATGCTTTGTCTTGTGTGTGCTCTGCAGGTTTGGCAGGAAGAACGTCCTCTTCGCCACCATGGCTGTGCAGACTGGCTTCAGCTTCCTGCAGATTTTCTCCATCAACTGGGAGATGTTCACTGTGTTATTTGTCATCGTTGGCATGGGCCAGATCTCCAACTATGTGGTGGCCTTCATACTAGGTAGGCATGGCTTCCAGCCCTTGGGACTTCTCTTCCAGCCCTCTGAGAGGCCCAGGAAAAAGGGGCCACTGAAGGGAAAACAGGGAGTGCTTTACTCAGCACAGAAAGGAGCACCTCAACCCATGAACTGTGCTTCCAACATGTGATCAGCCTCGGTCACATGGGGGTGAGGGTAACTGCAGCCACGGGCTCGTTGATCCGGCCATGGGCAAGGCAGGCACTCACGGACACTGGCTCTGTGCTGGGTCCTGAAGAATGGTGGTGGGGACCAGCCACGTAATAACCGAGACGCGTTGCAGGAACACAGGGCTGGAGAGACACGGAGAGTGGGGGTCTTGAGGGGGCACAGCCCAGGCACGTGTGTGATCTGAGCTGTGAAAGCTGGTAGATAGATGGCAGACATCTATCTGGGACAGGGCCAAAGAGTGTTCCTGGCGGCTGTGCACAGCCCGTGGAGGAACTTAGGATAGCTGGTGTGGCCGGTCCACAGGCGAAAGAGGCACGTGCCAGGCAGGAGCTCAGCGCCAGCCCGCCGTCGCTGGGCAGACCTGCTCTCACTCCGAGTCAGAGCCCACCCCGAGAGCCTATCGGCTGCGTGCAGGGCCAGCCTCGTTGCTGATAGGAGTCTTGTCTCCTGGCAGCAGCCTTGCTTTTGGAACAGCAGGCTGCGTGAGGGGGACCCGCCAGCTAAAGGCCATGAGGAGGCCCCCTGGGCCCTCACCCACTTTTCCTGGGAGGGAGTGAGGTGAACTCCGGGCAGGCGGGTCAGGGAGTCCACAGAAGGGGGAGTCCCCAGCATGCCCTCTGAGCCCGCCTGCTCTCTCTGAACAGGTGAGAGAAGGAAAGTTGAAGGGCATCTCTGGGACAATAAACCAAATCCCATAATGTCTAGTGTGATAATGTATTCTTGAGGGTTCAGTGCTATCCCAGTTTATCCATATTGTCACAGTGTAATTATTAGTAGTGCCCTGTTAATGAAAGTCTAACGATTCATCTTGCCTCAGAAGTCTGGATCTGGTAGGATGATGCTGATCACCCTAGAAGTCTAGATGACTCATTGGCTTTGGAGATACTGTGTTTTCTTAGCCGAGGATGTGTACACCCTTTGTCTGGTTGCCAGGATGGAATTATCCAAATTCCACTCCTTTAATCATTTGTGAAGAACCCCTTGCCATGGGCCCAGCCTCAGCGTTTGAAGAGAGGGGGAGGGGAGAGCATGTTGAAGCCACATGGACCTGGCAGATAGCACCCTCCTCGCAGGCTCCCGGGGGCGGGGCCTCTCTCCTCCCTCAGGGGGAGGACAGGGGCAAGTTCTTTGTGAAGAAGGCTGTTTGTGTAGAGGACACAAGAGCTTCAGGACAGTGGTGCTGGAAACGGGAGATTGGAGGGATTTGGGACAGAAACTGCAACCTCCTAAAGCCTGACGGCCCCAAGGACACAGGATTTGGGGGCACAGCAGAGCCTATCATTCCCATGGTCTAAATCCCCCAGAATCTGTCTTCCTTGTGGGGACCCTCCCGATACCCGAAACACCCTGTGTATGGCTCTGCTTGGGCCAGAGACACGCTGGAGACTAAAAAGGCCTCCTCGAAACAGAGGGCTCTGTCAGAGGCCAACACGCCCTTTTGGGGGGTGGCAAGGACCTTCCCAAGCAGAAGGCAGGGAATCGCGGTGAAGCTGGAAAGTCCAGTGGGAGGGACCGCAGCCAGGGGGGTCGGTGCCAGGCGCAGAATCCCTCAGCTTCTGCTGAGTGGTGGCGTTGACATGGGCCTTTCCAGCAGCACAGGGTGCTTCTGGGGCCATGGGGCTCCCCCCGCCCAAAGAGTGGATGAGGACGAGACGGCCCACCCTAGAGCTCCTGCAGGCAAGTCCTGCCCTGCTGGCCCCGACACTGCAGCCTGCTGCTGGCCGGCTGCCCGTGCTGAGGACAGGGGAGGGCCCAGAGGAAAGTAAGATCGTGGAAGGTCAGTCACCAGTCACCGGTCAGGGCCAGGGTGGGGCGCGGGGTGCAGCAGGCCGCCGTCGGCCGTCGGCCGGACGCAGCCGTTGTAGGTGCTCTGCGAGCCTCACTGGCGGCAGCTTTACTCCACCGTGCTCTGAGGAAGCTGCTGACTCGGTGTCCTCGTGTGGGACGCTTTGTGTTGGGTTCTCAGGTCTGAACCTTTGTAAGAGAGTCACTAAAAGCCGCGTGCTCCCCAGAAGGCGGAGCCCCCTCTTCAGGGCCGGGAGCACCCAGCAGCAGGGACAGCTATGGCTGATCCCCTGCAGCGCAGCAGCTCCCTCTGGTGTTTCAGGGCTAAACAGTGAATTCCTGGTTCTGACTGAAACCAACCAAAGCCTCGGGTCTGGGCTGACAAGCTCTGTCCAGGCCTTCACCTTACCTTGCCCTCTGACTCTAGGGAAGAGCTGGCGAGCCTGCACAGTGACGATCTCCGGGTTTAAGAGTCTTTGCGTACATTCAGGAAGCTGACTTGCTCCCGTTCTCTAAGTGGTGCAGAAGTGGGTCCTCTCCTCATTCTGCTTTTTAAAAAGCCTGCCAGAGTCACAGGGGACCAGGAGGGGGGCGGGAGGGGACTGCTGCCCAAGGGAGCAGAGAGGCGCTGCACCTGCAAGTGAGGGGGCTGCCTGAGTGCCGCTGGGTTAGGAGGGAGTGACACTCAGGAGCAGGGACGCCCCCCCCCGCCTCCCCCCGGCCCCCGCCGCCACGCCAGCTGCCAGCACAGTCTCCTACTGTGTCCCAGCAATACCTCCCACTTGTCCATAGGCTTTTGGGTAAAACGCCAGCAGCATCCCTGATAACTCGCTGCTTACATTTATTTCACACACTTAATGGCCTCCCGTCTTGACTGCTTGATTAATTTGGTGTTTTCCCAGTGCTCCTAACGACCTCCCATGCAGCACTTGTTCCAGCTTGCTGAACTGTTCAAAGCCCTGCTCCCCCTGGTGTCGAGATGTGTCCTTCCTTTTGATAAGCATGTGACGGATTGCATCTTCCTTTATTTAGCTACCAGGATGCCCAGGCAAAATTAAAATTTAACTATCTTCATTACACAGACTTTATCAACCACATATTTTTAAAAATGTTTTTAAATTGAGACACAATTTCCACATCATAATACTCTTTTACAGTTTAAAACTCAGTGATTATTGGTACACTCACAAAGTTGTACAACTATCAACTCTTATTTAACTCCAAAATGCTTTCATCACTCCCAAAAGACACCCTGGACCCAGTAGCAGGGTCCCCCTCTCCCTGTTTCCCCAGCCCCTGCAATCACTAACGTACTTTCTGTCTATATTCTGGACATTCCTGATAAATGGCATCATACCACGTGAGGCCTTTGTGACTGACTTCCTTCACTGAATGTTTTCAAGGTGTGTCCATGTCGTAGCCCGAATCAATATTCCATTGTATGGACGTACCACACTGCGTTCGTCCATTCATCAGTGGATGGATATCTGGGTTGTTTCCACGCCGCGTGGAATGGATTCAGAGGCTCCCGACCGCACCCATGACGGACCACCGCGGAAGGGCCATGCTCAGTGCAGCAATGAGCCTGGCCCTGTCTGAGTCACTCCCTCCTGGGGGCAATGCTCGGATTCAGCTGGTGGTGACAGGCAGCGGCCAACACCCTGGCCAGGACTTGCTCCTTTGGCTTAAATGTCAGAGTTTTACTCCCCAGAGACAATCAGAGGCCCAACTGGACCAAGACCAACTGAGCTTTACCCCGGGAACAAAAGCCTAGGGCGTAGAAGAGGCCGGGACAGGAACCCCCGCCAGCGGCGCCTGAAGCCCCCCGTCCCCCGTCGGGTGGCCTGCCAAACGCACGGACAGCTTGCGGCAGCTGCAGGCTGTGAAAGGCCTGCAGGATTCGGGCTCCTCTCCTGGGGCTCCTCAGGCTGGTTGGCCTCCAGCTGGTTCCAAGACCAGCCCAGGCAAAGAAAGCGCGAATCCTCATGTCTGAAGAGGGGATGTGTTTGGCCTCACCCATCTCTCACGTGTGTCTCCACCGGAACCTCAGTTGCAGGACTGCTTGATAGGGCCAAGGCTTTGTCCCCAGATGACTTTTTTAGATGTTTGCCATAGGTCACACGCATCAGACTTCAGTCCTGGCCGTCCCATTTATTATGTGTGAATTTAGGCAATTGGTTCTAGCTCTTTAAGTCTCAGCGGATTACATATAAAATAGAAGTAATCTTCTATAACTGTTGTGAAGATTCAAAGAGCTAATACAGGTAAACACTTAGTCTGGGACTGACATGAAGTGTCTACTCAAAAAAAAAAAATGCTAGCTATGAAGATGATGATGACGATGATGACGGCGATGGCGATGATGGTGATGGTGATGGTGCTGGTGACGGTGAAGGAAGGCGATCATCCGAAAGTCAGGGAGCAGGAAGGCGTGCTAGCACGAACTATTTAGGCTCATGCCATCCGCGTTGCTCCACACACAGAAAGGCGGAGGGCTGGGTTTACGCAGCTTCTGTCCCACGTGATTACTCAGCAAAGTGAGGACAGCTCTGTTCTGGCCTGGGACCTGCACTTAGAGAGGGAGGTTATCCGGGAACCCAGTGGCGTAACTGTTCTCTCTTATCAGGGTCACAGGGCCAGGAGGGAACCCCCTTGGCCTCCGGATTCGACCAGAGTTTCACATGGTCCTGTGCGCTCGCTGTTTTCCACAACCCCTTCCTCCGCCGTGTCACTTCCGAGCCCCCGCTTAGGAATAAAGCTCCCCTTGTTCAACCCCATATCACAACTCCCACAGGCAGCGCGTCTAGAAACCAGGGCATGGGCAGCCTCCCTGTAGGAAGGTCACTCACGGGGTAAGAAAAGACCTGGAAATGACGTTCACGATCCTCAGAGAGGTCAGGCCCGATCCTTGGAAATGCACTTAGTGGCTGGGAGATGCCCTGGGGGTCGGGGCTCTTGTCTGCAGTCTAGGATGGGAGAGGCGCGCAGGACTGGCCACTGCCATTGGTCTGGCTGCAGAAGTGGCCATTGCAGAGGGGGCCACTGAGGCCCATGGCTCAGCCAGGCTGAGTAAGGAAGGTGGGGGAGGGGATAGGAACAGGTAGGCGGTGAGCATGGGAGACCAGCCAAAATGGTCATTTGACTGCTTCTCTGGTTTTAGACCTTTATTCCTTAGCCTGTGCTCAGGACACGGAAACACGATTGAGAAAATCTCTCCCAAGAGCCAAGCCGGAATGGTGCTTGAATGGTCTGCTTTGTATTTCCTGGGCTACTCCTCTGTAGTGGAGGAAAGACCTCAAACAAAAGGCGGAGTGGTTGCCATAGCCCGGGTCCCTGCCCCTGGATACCACGAGTGGACTCTGTGGAAAGGGCCTGGCGCTCAGTGGCAACAGAAGGAGCTTGTTCTTGGATTCTGAAGGGCAGGCACGTCTCCGGAAGAACGGTGCCAAGCCAGCCATTGTGGCGCTGGGCAGAGCAGGACCCATGGCCACCTGCGTGTCCTCTCCCAAAACAAGCCACGCACTGGGCAGCCTTGGGCCTTTGTGGTGTTCTGGGAAAGCTCTGCGGAGTCCCCTGGGGGTGTGGCTGGCTCCAGGGCTGCCACTGGCGGGCCAGCAGCACAGTGCCTTCTTTTCTTGGCCTGAATGGCTGAGGCCTGCCTGGGGCGGATCCCTGGGCATGATGTGGCTTCAGGGGCGCTCAGCCCCTGGGCGCCAGGGCCTACTCTGTGCACCTGCAGAGACAGCTGGATCCCAGGGCTCAAGGGTGGCGAAGAGTGTCCTAGCCCCACTCAGTTACTGTGAATGCTCCACTGTTTCCCCATGGGCCAGGGGCTGGGGCTCTACAGCGGAGAATTGTGGGAAAGCTAATGTGCTGTGACCCCACAGAGCCCCTCAGAAGAGCCCCCACTGACTCCTAGGACACCTCTCTGTCCCCCACCCTGGGACTCGGATTTTGGGAATGTGGCATTCCCCAAAGAGATTACCTCTTGGGGCTGGCTGCTATTTCTATGGCATAAAATGATCTTAAATAAAAACAACTATGGCTCCTTTAAAATCTCATGAAAACTTACCTTCTATAAGGCCTTAAGTCTTGAGTCCCTTCCCACCTTCCTCCACCCTGAACATACCTGTCCCGGGCCACGAGGCAAATGCCTTTTCCTCTTGTAAGTGACTATAGCTTGAACTCTGCCGGGTAATGATATAAAAAGCAAATATTAAAGTGAGTTAAAATGCTAATATTCCTCCCTTGTTTTGAACAGGCACAGAAATTCTTGGCAAGTCAGTGCGTATTATATTCTCTACATTAGGAGTGTGCACATTTTTTGCACTTGGCTACATGCTGTTGCCACTGTTTGCTTACTTCATCAGAGACTGGCGGATGCTGCTGCTGGCGCTGACGGTGCCGGGGGTGCTGTGCGTCCCGCTGTGGTGGTGAGTGTGGCTCGGCCCCAGACAGCCCCCTGCTGCAGACCAGCACAGCCTGGGACCCAGAGCCCAGCGCCATCTCCCTGGAGCTGGCAGAGGTGGCCCGGAAGCCCAGAGGCTGTACGCCTGGCTGCGTGGGCCGGCGCGCTGGGTTTAACTCTCCGCTGTCCCACAAAGCACTTTTCTCGGGAAATCCAGACCCCTCTCACCGAGGCTCTCCCCACTCTTGCCCACTCTTGGTGGTTGTTTTTATTTGAGGAGCTGGTCCTGTTGAGCTTTGTTGTTTTGAACTCTATCCCCCTTCTCTTTTGACACTTCCCTCTCTCTAGGAAATCTCTTTCTCCTTATCGACTCAGGTAACGTAGTTCCTTTCCTCAGGCATCCAAGGTGTGCCTGTTTATCTGCTTGTCGGGAAGGGTGAGAGACTTACTCTTGTTTAATGAGCTGTTAGAGAAATGCTCTCTTCTCCTCTCCCTCAACCCTCCGACCCAATCTTGACACATCAGCACGTCAGCACGGGAATCCCACAGGCTGCTGATAGCAGCCCCGGTTTCACCCAGTACGGTTCTGTGGGAGATTTTAGAAAAAGGCAATAAGGTACCAGCTATACCCTCTTTTTGGGATTCCCCATTTCTTTGGTTTTTCACATTTAAGCAAGAAGAAAGGGGATTTCTTCCATCACTGGCTCTGGCTTTCTCTCTCTCTCTCACTAATTCTTTTTGGTTTGGCTTCATGATATCAAAATCAAATCTCCCAGCAGTGAATGGTTTTACTCAACTGTTTGACCTCTACCTGCTTACACACAATGAACGTTTCTTCAGTCCTTTTTTGGAATTCACAGTTTAGCCCTCATGATTGCCCTGTCCTTTGGACACACTGCCTGGGAAGTTGCCTAGAAGGTTCTTTATGTTACTGTAAGTGTTAGGCGGCCATAGAGGCTGACAGGTAGCACACCTTGGCCTTGTTGGACCAGGTGGCTGAGGTTGGACCCACTCCAAACTACCGTATTTCAATGACCTCTGAGACCACTAGGGTTTCCCAGTGTACGTTTTTGGCATGGGCGTGTATAGGGGGCAGGAACTTTTTTTTTTTTCTTACTTCCCTGGAATTTGAGAGACGGTATGTTAAAGATTAACTGCTATTCAGACTTGGAGGTTTCCTCTGGAACCCGGTCCGAAGGTCAGGAAAGCTTGTGGTGAATGAGGCAGGCCATTATCGACACGGCTCTGCCTCTGAGGAAAGCAGGCGCTCAAGATCTGTGAGATGAGGGCAGCTTTCTAGTATGAGAGTCACCATCATCATCATCGTCGTTGTCATCGTCACACCCTCCCCACAACCTCCTTGCTAACTGAATCTAGTGTAAATGGTGCTGGTGACCCAAGAGCCTCTCAAAACACAAGACAAGATTATTCATAGGCTATTTTCTGCTGCTTCAGGTGAATGATTTTAATAATTGACATTCCCTGGCTCTAGTTGTCCTTTTGGCATAAGAGATCACCACTTTTAAAATGTGTTCTAATCAAACATAACAGTATAATTCTATCAGAGAGAGAGAGAGAGAGAGAGAAGGAGAGAGTGAGAGAAAGAGAGAGAATGAAAATAGAAGGGTTCTGACTGACTGTAAGAGATGAGTAGGGGTTTTCGCTTGTGGGGCTCAGACCTTGCCTTGGGGCCAAATAGCACAGCAAGAATAACTCTGCTGGGTCGGCCCCTGAGTTTCCAACCAAGAAGGCCCATCCCCTGAGGAGCGGCCTCTCTCGCGCCCTGAGGAGAGTTCTTGCTCGACTGTCTGCCGCTGGCCGGGGAGCGCTCCAGGGCTGGCACCGCCCCAGAGAGAGGCAGCCCAGGGCCAGCACTAACAAGCTGCCTGCTCTCCCCAAAAGGTTAAAACAACAATCTTATCATTTTCCTCTAGGAACAAAATCGCTTTGTTCTGAACATCTCCTCCTTACGGGCGGGCCTTCCTGAAGCGATGCTCCTCTGTCCCCTGGGCTGGGGTGATGCAGGGGTGTCTGGGCTGCTGGGCCCCCGCCGCCTGCTCAGCGTGCGACGCAGGCTCTCCTCCAACTCCCTCCCCTGCTCACTTGGGAATGAAACTACAGGGAGGCTATTGTGCACAACCTCGTTTGGTGCTCCATAGCCTTTTCAAATGATCACTACACTTGATTCTTCATGAACCAAAAAGCCGTGGCAGTTCTAGAGCTGAGCTTGCAGCCGGCCTGAGTAGGCGGGCTAGGGATGGGAGGGGAACCTACCCACTTCTGAGTCAATGCAAGAGGCTTGGAATATTTTACATGCCAAGTTCCTTTTAAAAGGCTTGGCAGTAAATGGTTACAGGTACGAATGGGGTATGGGTTTGGGATGGGGAAGGAGGCGGTAGATGCAACGTGGGGACAGCTGTGCAGTATCGAGCTGCCTAAACGTTAGGAACCTGAGGCCGGAGATGGCCCTCAGGGCCTGTAGTAAGGAAGGTAGGGTGTTTTAAAAGAACAACCTGGTTTGGGAAAAATACTGCTCAGAAGCAGAAGTGCGCAGGACAGACATGGTGACCTCTAATTCTGCACTATGGCCATAGTCATGAGCCACATGCTGCCTTTTAAATTAAAATTAAAGCAAATTAAATTGGAAATTCATTTCTTCAGTCACCTTAGTCACACTAACTCAAAGCCACGTGTGGTTAGCGGCTACTGTATTGGACCCCCCAGCCCTAATTCCGGGAGGTCAGCAACCTCACATCATCACAGTTGCTATGGGGGCCAAGTAAGCACATATTCTAAAAACTGTAAACCGGGTTCAGTTTTCAAGCATGGTGCTAGCAGGCCGGGGCAGGGAGCTGGGGTTTGGCCAGTTTATGGGCTGTGTTTTGCTCTGAGATTATTCCTTGAGGCTTTGGAGGGGCCCGTTTAATTACAGGAGGCCTCTGTATCTGCTACATGTGGTTTACTTTCCAGGACAACTAAGTACTGACAAATAGGTAAGGAAAACAAGAACTGGCAGAAGGATGGCTAAGAGAGTCTAGAAACTAAAAATTAGGGAAGAATTAAAAAATGTAAACACATATGTGTGTGATAAAAATGAATAGAAATAGGGGGGAAAAGAAAAATTAGGAAAGAAGTCAACTCTATTTGACCATCAGTTAAAATGTAGAAAGAGTGTATGGTTTAAAAAATTAACTTTCTAGACATAAAAAAAAAAAAAAGACAACATTTGCTGTCTTCCGAAAACTGGTTTGGGCGCTCGCGGGCCTGGGAATCTGCGTACGTCCACCAGGACAGCCCACGGGAGGGCGTCCGCGCACCCACCTCCTCCTCGGACTGCAGGAGAAGCTGCCCTCGCACAGGAACCGTGGGCGCGTCGCCCCGGGATGGGCACAATGGGCACACCAGGCTGTGTTCCTTTCACGGGCCCCCCTGGCCGGCTAAGTTTCGGGCGGTCCTCTCCAACCGCCCTGGCTTAGCCGCACGCACCGTGAATGTTACCCCTTACGGTCCGCTCCTGGCTTCAAGCACAACTGATGATCGGTCTTGGGATTTGACCAAAACTTGAAACTTGAAGGTGCTTTTATTTACTCCTATAAGCAACAGAAACCTTAGGGGGACTCTGCTCCCCTGATTTTCTTTAAAAAGACAAACTAGAATTTTACAACATGAAAATTCTTTCGGGGGTCAACTTACGGTTAATAGCATCAAACCCTGTCATTGTGGAAAATTATAAACCATTAAAAATGAATTCTAGGTTTATTCCTGAATCTCCCCGGTGGCTGATATCCCAGAGAAGATTTAGAGAGGCTGAAGCTATCATCCAAAAAGCTGCGAAAATGAACAACATAGCTGCCCCGGGGGCGATTTTCAACCCTGTGGAGGTAAGCATTTGCAGATGTTTTGCCTTGAGGTCAGCCACGCATTCTCGATTTTATGGCATTTAACTTAATTCAATATGTTTTGAGTGCCCACCACATACCAGGCTCCGTCCACAACAACGATTAAATTCTGAGATAAAACCCACCTCAAAGGGCTGTGTGTGAACTATGTGCAATGATATATGTTAACTGCTTAGCATAGAGCGCATATTAACTAAATATTAGTTCTCTTCCCTTTTGCAAGTTCCTTTCCAGCTTTTTATTGGTATTGCTCTATACCAAGGGTGCAGCTATATACCGGTGATTTTTGAATGTCCAGATTTAGTGGAGAAAATGTGTTTGAGAGGCATTCCACCATGCACTCCCCAATGACCCTGACTCTTCCCAAAGCCTGCTGCGGAAGTTACACATGACTTTTGTCTTGCTGTGTCGTGCCTGGAACCTTAAGTCCTGACGATTCGCCCCGAAGGCGGGAGGCCACGAGGAAAAGCTGATGCGCGTGGAAGCAGCAGCCCTTTCTGACAGTCTGTGAGGACTTGCCGTGTTCTCAGCCATGCCCTGTGCTGGCCACTAAAGAAAACAAAAAGTAGGCACATTTCCTATGATTAAGGAGAGTGGAATATAACTAAGAGCATCAAGAGGACTGGAGGAAAGGTACACAGTGACAAGAGGGAGAAATGCTAAGTACCCAAGGAGCGGACACTGTGTGACTGCAGAGAGAGAAAGCTGAGTGACTCAGGGCAAAAGAGGCAGGTCCCAGCCAGGGAGAGGGCAGGGCGGGGCATTCCCGGCTCGGAGAAGGGTAGGGGGCCGCCCGGGACAGAGAAGACCAGGGCGGCTACGGGCGACAGTATGCAGGTCTGCAGGGCTCCGTGGGGGGGCGGCAGGCATGCCAATGCTCCCTGCCAAGGCCTCCTCCATCCCTGGCCTCCAGGACCTTTGACGGACGCAGATACTGTCTCAATGGCTGGAGGATTAATTATGGCGGCCGTGAACCTAAGCTCTCAGGGGCTGCCAGGACAAACATCTCTTAATCCTTCACTCTTCAGACTAAGAATTCCATTTCTGACTTCAGTCAGTTTAACTGGATGCAAAAATAACATTGGGCGTATCTAATGCTTCTGCATCTCAGGGCTGTGCTGGATGTTTCTGGTGTTTATTGGATATGTAGTCAGATTCCTGTCTTTGAGCAACTTACAGTCTAGTAGCAGAGATCAGAACTACGTAATAAACACGATCTCAAACCATATGAGGGATGTAGAGTTATGAATGTATAAGAATCGAGTCCAGTGTTAAAGCACACGCCCTGACGGAGCCTGCCGTCCTGCCACGAGGCACAGCGCGGCTGAACTGGACACGCCCATGGCGGGGAAGGGAACCTGTGCTTTCCCAAGGCCGGTCACCTCCCCTGCTCACCTCCCAGGTGGGGTCCTCTTTCGGAGGATCTGCAGAGCCGCGGGCAGGCAAATGCAGCCTGCTCAGGATGCAGACGGAGAGAGAGCCTACCGGACGCCAGGCACCGCGTTCAGCTCGTTTCATGTCCACGCGGGCCGTGGGCCCATTTCTCAGGAGAGGAAACCGAGGTACAGGGAGGTTAAGTAACGTGCCCAGGATCGAGCAGCTAGAAGTTTCACTCGGCCTCTCCAGTGCCAAAGGGCGTGCACTTACCTGGGCCTTCTTCCCTGATGGGATGGGCAGCGTGTTAACTTGGACAGGAAAGAATATATAACAGCATCCTGACCAGGAGGCCCCAGCTCCTCTGACTTCCCTTCTGAAGCACCGTCCACCTGCTTGTGGTGCCCGGTCCAAAGGCATTTTGCTGGCTCCATAAAGGCACAGCATGAGCACTGGATACAAGAATGACCTTGTCCTGAGGTTTCCAGATGTGGCTGCTTATCACAATCACCCAGGGGGCCTAAAATACAGATTCCCAGGTCTCCGAGTCCCAGGAAAGAGTCTGATGCAGCAGGTACAGGGTGGAACCTGGCAAGCTGCATTTTCACAAAGGCCCCGCGGAAGCACCGGCTGGACCCGCAGGTCCCGGCTGTGCATGGTGGTGGCTCCCAGAGCCCTGCAGCTTCCCTCCAGCGAAGCAGGGCCTTCGCTTTGTTGTCATCACGGAGAGCAGCACGCTCCAACCAGTGCAGAAGAAACAAGGTAGAGTGCCTGTCTGACTGTCCCTGGAAGAAGGTGCCGCGGCCTGGCGAACACCCTCTGCACAGGCAGGGCCGCGCGCTACCCACCTGCCTCGTGGAGTCTCCTTCCCAGCACCACCGCACGCGCAGCCCAGGCCACGGAGTCCTGGCACTTCATCCCAAGGAGATGAGATTCCCCACCTCAGAGCCTCGCAACTTTCTCATTTTAGTGTGCATAAGCCTGGTTAGCTAGGTTCCTACCACATGGCACGTTAACCCAGTAAGTCAAAAGTAAAGGAGGGGAGCCCATTGCCAGCAGGAAGAAACTACCAGTCCCCACTGGACAGCCAGCACCTCCGCCTCGATGGTGGGGGAATAATGTCAACAGTTAAAATGCGTGGGGCATTTACCTTGCTCAAGTACTATGCTAAGGTTTATGTATATGATCTCATTTAATCTGCCAGTTATTTTACAGAGAAGTAAGTGGGGGCTCAGAGAGGGTACAGAGTAACTTTCCCAAGGCCCCACAATTAACCTGTCTGTTCTAATGTGGAGACATCAACAGAAAAACTACAGAAAGCAGAGAGGGACCACAAGGCCGTTTGGGTCCATCTGGCGCTGCCCCTGAACGGGCACCAGTGGGTGTGATTCGGGGACCCAGAGCAATGAGCGCGAGCAAAGGCAAGGCCATGTCAGCAGCCTTTCCAGAAAGAGACCGCGGAGCCCATGTTATACACTTGAAAGGCTTCTGTCTAAAACAGGCTGCAAACATTTTAAAGTGTCAGAATAAAGCATCACATAAGTAGATGCTCTCATTCCCCACGAATTCCAGGCTTGTAAGCACATTCAAAGTAAAGTGAGAGTTACACGCGTAGGTTATGCCCACATTGTCATGGCCAAAGATGCTTCCTCACTTCCTCTCAGTCTCATGGTTCTTTCCATTATTTTAGCTACAGGAGCTAAAACCTCTGAAGCAGCAGAAAGTCCTCATTCTGGACCTGTTCAGGACTAGGAATATCGCCACAATAACCGTCATGTCTTTGCTGCTATGGTAAGTGCCAAGTGATCTGAAGTGTGGTATCCAGCGCATACATATTCGTCCTACTGTCTTTAATTCAAGGGAACATCAGGACAAGGCCTCGGTCTTCCTGAGACAAAATAAAAGTTATAAAATTCTAAGTTAATTGGAGATGGCTCAATTCAATTCATGGAACTGGGTACTGAAAAAGAAAAGTCACAGGGAACAACATTTAAGTCTGCAGTAAGCCCACAAGGCAAGGGTCCCTCCCCTCCTAAAGTCGTTGGGATTAAGACTAATTAATGATGTGCCCTGGTGGGGTGGCTCAGTTGGTTGGAGTGTCAGCCTGTCTAAGGGTTGCAGGTTTGATCCCTGGTTAGGGCTCATATGGGAGAGAACGGATCATGGTTCTTTCTCACATAGATGATATTCTCCCTCCCCCGCTTCCCGCACCCCACTTCCTCTTTCTCTAGTCCTTGAGCGAGGAATTTAAAAAAAAAAAAAAAAAAAGACTACTGACGTCCCTGGTGCCTGAAGCGGATATGCTAGTTCAGCTCCTGCTTCCCGAAGCTGGTCTGGCAATCAACAGTGAAGGCAGAATAACCTGACCCTCTACTGCCTGTATGAGAGTTTTGACAAGCTTTTCATACTTGCCAGTTGCAAACTAACAAGGCATCAAAATAATGAACCGACTCCCAATTATTTTACAGAGAAGTTAATAGGGGCTCAGAGAGGGTACAGAGTCACTTCCCCAAGTCCCACGGTGAACCCAAGTCTGTTCTGTGGCGGAGACATCAACAGGAAAAGTATAGAAAGCAGAGAGGGACCACAAGGCCGTTTGGGTCCGTATGGTGCTGCCCGTCCAACAGGCACAAGTGGGTGTGATTCGGGGACCCAGAGCCATGAGCACGAGTACGATCTAATACTGGATCTGCCAAGAAATGAGAAAGAAGAGAAAAAGAATGTGCCTATCCCATGACGGCAACAGCAAAGATGATCATCGGAACTAGTCGGTTCAGACTGCAACTAGTCTACTTGTAGGGTCATCCTGCTCTGCAGTTCGAGGAAATCAGTGACAGAGCTTACGACGAACTTAAGCAAACGTGTCCAGGCACCCGGCGCCCTGCCGCCCTGCAGGCCTCCCTAGCTCTCACCCGTCAGCCGAGCTGCTGGGTTGTTATCGGAGCCGCTCTTATTCCCAAATGTGAAAATCACTATGATTCCTAGAGCAATGAAGTTTAATTTTTGGTTGTGTTTCGGATTCGCCCTTGTGCTACCCAACCTAATGAAGCGCATATAAAAATATCCAACAGGGTCCTGAAACGATTTTTGAGCAGGCATTGTTAACATGACTTCTTTTCAGTCATGTTGATAATAAGCAAACTTCTGCACAGGGGAGTCTGCATAGGGCAGGAATTTATCCACAGAGAAGCTTTTATGTGGACATTAACTATAATGACAGGACTTGTGGTATGTACTCTGTGATATTTCGAAGCACTATGGGACTTTCATTCTTTTCCCTAAGTGAGTTTTACTAAATCCATTGGAATTTACTGTAAGTGGCTCTCACAGTATTACCTCCTCCTTCTCTTCCTCCTCCTCCTCCTCTTCTTCCCCTCCTTCTCCTTCTTGTTTTTTTTGATAAGAATGAAGTCTATATTTTACGGTCACTAGCATAACTGACATACATTCTTTCTTCAAATAATAGCTCTAATGGAATGAAGATGTACAAACTGTTCAGGAAGTATTGAAATGTAAAATTAACTGGACCAGGATCGGTATTGCTGCAGATTGGTATAGCTAGAGCCGCGCTGTCCTTTGGCAGGTTCTGCATCGATGAAAATGTTTTTCTCTGTGGTGTCAATTATAGTAGCCACTAGCCACATGTGGCTACTAAGTGACTGAAGTGTAGCTAGTACACCAGAGGAGCTGACTCTTTGCTGTTACTTAATTTTATTTAAATAAAAGTAAATAAATTTATTTACTTTTAAATAGCCATGTGTAGTTAGTGACTACTTGTAGAAAAACAGAATCTAGACAGTTTCTTGACCATTCCTTGCTTCTTGAAAGTGCAAAGTAATTCAGACCGTCATTTTGTCATTTTTGTTTTTTCTTCTATCTTTTAGGATGCTAACCTCAGTGGGTTACTTCGCCCTGTCTCTCGACTCTCCTAATTTACACGGAAATGTCTACCTGAACTGCTTCCTCTCTGCCTTGATTGAAGTTCCAGCTTACATCACAGCCTGGCTGCTCCTGAGAACCCTGCCCAGGCGTTACATCATATCTGGAGTGTTGTTCTTCGGAGGAGGCGTGCTTCTCTTAATTCAACTGGTACCTGCAGGTAAGAAGTTACCCAATATTAACAGCTTAATGGAAAAGACTTATACCTTGACTCAGGCTACTTACTGGTCACCGTTCCCTATTTATGTAGCCTTTATATCATACACCATTCATAAGTCAATTAGACAAATCGTTGCTAACTATGTGATTTTCTGAGTTCAAACACGCCTCAAACAGATGAGCCAGGCTTGGAGACTTGGAAATCAATACCTGCAGAAGAACATTCACCTAAACCTTCAAACCTCTTTCTGGAAGTCTCAGCCCTAGTTCCCAGTTTCTCGATACTTTCAAACCTTTTTTTGAGGCATATACTTGAGTTGGTAGTACAAGCCAGTTCCCACATAAATTCAGTGATTTAGGGGGTCTGCAGTGTTCCAGTTAAAGAGCACACAAAGGGACAGCTTCCCACTTCCCTAACTCTCATATTATTAAAATATTAAGGCAATAGATTATTGATGCATAGTATTATACATAGAAATATGTACTTCTTAATAATAATAAACAGGATAGAAAGGAGGGGTCCTTCTCTTTGAAAATTAAACTTAACTATGTTAACACGCTAACAATTTACCATGAAAGTGTTGTAACAAACAAAAGTGCACAAAGGTCACTGAATGTGTAAATTTTCTAGAATAACAGTAGAGTGAAGGGCAAAGCGGCCCTCCTCTCCATCTTTGTCTGCGTCAATTAAGACATTTGAAGAGAAAGTGTTATTTGGGGAACAGCTTTACATTGTAAAACAAAACAAAACAAAACAAAGAACAACAACAAAACATGCTCATTCAAGCAAAGAGGACAATAAAAGCAGCCGAGTTGAGACCGTATCATTTCTAAAAGCACCTCTGTTAACACGGGGCCTTTTTTCCAGATTACAACTTCTTGTCCATCAGCCTGGCGATGTTAGGGAAATTCGGGGTCACCTCTGCCTTCTCCATGCTCTATGTCTTCACTGCAGAGCTCTACCCAACGCTGGTCAGGAACATGGCCGTGGGGGTCACGTCCATGGCCTCCAGGGTGGGCAGCATCATCGCTCCCTACTTCGTGTACCTTGGTGAGAGACGTCTTAGCCATATGTTCTTTTTTTTAAAAAAAATCAAAGTAATATATTTTCATTGTGAAAAACTCAAACAGCACAGATAGTACTGGAAAAAGTACTCCCTTCTCTCAGCTCCCTACATCACAGCCCTAGAAGTAATTAATATGAACAGTTTGGTGAGTAGCCCTTCAGACATTTTGTTTTAATATATATATTTTTTAAAACACAGAAAAAAAATTATATGTATATTGTTTCACAACTTTTTCTAACTTAACATAGTATCAGACTATCTTTATTGGTGTAGGTAGTTCTCAGACCTTCTTTTTAGTTAGTACCTAGTCTTTCACTGTATGTATATACATAATTTCTTTAACTAGGTTCAATGGATTGACATTTAGGCCCTGTCCAGGCTTTTGTTATTACAAAAAGTACTACAATGAACATTTCCTTATGCCCTTACACCCTTTGTTTGAGTGTGTATATTTGCGTTCATAGATTTCTGTAGCAATTTAAAAATTGTATAGGTATTGCCAAATTGACCTCTAAATATTGAGCCAATTTATAATCCAACTGTCAATGCATGAACATGCCTGTTTCTCTGTATCTTCACCAACAATGGGGATTATCCAATTTTTTAATCATTGATAATCTGTTACGTAAAAAATGGGTATCGTTGTGTCATTTCCATTTCTTTAATTATAATGAGGTAGAACATTTTTTATACATTTATTGACATTCTATTATTTTTCAATGACCTATTCATGTCTTCTGCCCATCTTTCTAATTTTTTTTTCAACTTCTTATTTTTGATTTGTGAGAGGTGTTTGTAATTGAAAAAAAAAGTTAGCCCTTTTTATATATGTTGTAAATATTTTTCCTAGTTGCCCTTGCCGGGTGGCTCAGTTGGTTACAGTGTCATCCCAATACACCAATGTTGTGTGTTCAGTCCCTGGTCAGGGCATATACAAGAATCGACCAATGAATGCATGGATGAGTGGAACAGCAAATTGATGTTTCTCTCTCTCCCTCTCTCTCTCCCCCCCATTCTCTCTCAAAAAATCAATTTAAAAAATTAATATTTTTTCATAGTTGATCATTTAAATTTTGACTTTGATATTTTTTGCAATGCAGGAAATTTTAATTTTTTATAATCAAATTTATCAAGCTGAAATAACACCCCAGAGAGACCTAAGGGGGATATTCAATGGACGCAAGATCTGGCACTTGAAACCTAATCCTCATGAAGGGCTCCACTGATAGCAGATGTAGACGTACCTCCTTATTCTTCCTGGTCCTCCACTGGTTACCTACCAGTTCAAACACACATACACACACATGCACGCATGCACACACGCACACACAAAGAATCCATGAATTCTCAGAAAAGGTATACGCAGTCCTTAGAGAAACATTTCCTGTCTTAAACATCCTCTGAACAGCCCTTGGGTGCCCTGAGCAGCACCCAAGAAAACACATTATTGGTGTCATTTCCCCTTTGTTCTTCCCTGTACTTCTGAATTATGCTCCTATAGTCTCACAGTGGACCATTGGTACATAAAAAATGGAGGAGTCTGAGAAAGAGCTTCCTATTTCACAATCGCTGCACCTGTTTGTGACATGGAGGCCTCAGAAAAGTTTCAAGATCAATGTTTTTTTGGCAGACAAAATTCTTGGGTGTGTTGCTCCTCTGGAATCTCTGTATGCAGATGGGAAAGCAAAATGGGGATCTATTAATTCTGCTGAGTGACACCATATAAAGAAGAGGCGGAGGGGTCTTCCAATTATGTAGAAAACCAAGACTTACAAATGCTGCAAAAAGTAACCAAAGCACTGCTTTCAAAGTGTCTGACATTTATTAATTTAAATTGGGTTGAACATATTACTTAGAATTTTTTTTTTTGAGTGTGATGACCCTGTGGACGGAACTTTTCACCGCAGCCTACTGGTTTGGGTCACGCCAGTCATGCTGGCCGTACCTGTCCCTGCAGCATCCTGGTCAACCTCTTCCTCCTTGATGTTCTCCCATCCCCCCATCTCCAGTTACCTCCACCTTCAGAGGAGAACTTTGGTAGAACTTTGATTTCTATCAAAGAAACATCTGTCACACATGGTTAAATAGTAGCTTAACGAATACCAGTTGACATGAAAAACCTTCTGATCGTGCAAAATTAAGTAGGCAAAGCATTATGGAAATGCCGGGGCAATGGCGAGTTAAAGTTGATGTTGAAATGGCTGCAAAAACAAATGGTGTATCTTGCATACTTTTTAACTCCTGAAAACTTTCCAATTCAAAACTGCTGTCGAACACTGTTTGCCACCATTACATGATGCTTCTCGAGACACCTAGGGAATCCCTGTATCTAAGCGATGTCCGTCCCTTGCAGGGGCTTACAACAGACTCCTGCCCTACATCCTCATGGGCAGCCTGACCGTCCTGATCGGAATCGTCACCCTGTTTTTCCCTGAAAGTTTTGGAGTGGCTCTACCAGAGACCTTAGAGGAGATGCAGAAAGTGAAATGGTAAGTGGAACTTTAAAAAATGATATCAAAATTCCTCAGAAAGAACAAACATGCAAGAGTGGCTAGGAAGTTTCTTGAAAAGAAGAGTAATAAGTGGAGAGTAGCTCTATCATATAATGAAGCATATTATTGAGCAATGGTAGTGAGAACAGTGCGCTACTGGTGTAGGAATAGCAATCACTGGAATAGGGTTCAGAATTCAACCCAAGGAAGTATGAGAATTCAACCCAAGGAAGTATGAGAATTCAGTATATGATGAAAAGGAGCGACTCAAAAGCAGTGGGGGAGAGTTAGAGGGTTCGGTGCCAGGCGTTGGAACATTCGGCCAGCTCTTTTGGAGAACCAAAAACTTGACTCCTACTTCAAAGTGCATCCCTATAAAGTCCAGAAATATTAAAAGTTGAGGCCTAAAAGAATGTACAATCATAAACACCCCAAAAGAAAACATAAATATTTTTATAACTTTTGAGAAGGCCTTTCTGAGCATGATATGAAAAGCAAAGAGCCATAAAGGAAAAGATTGATATATCTGATTATGTAATTTTAGAAATTGTTGGCACAGCAAAAAAGAAACCATAAATGAAGACAAAGATCAGCGAGCCAGGAGGAAAATGTTTGCAACATTTAAATGTTTGCAATGTAAACCCAGGGCTGCTTATACCTAATATACCTAAAGCTCTTAGTGATTAGTAGGGAAAAAAGACAACTCAGTAGGAAAGCTAGCAAAGGTCATGAACGTGCAGTTTACAGAAATACATTTCAGTGGCAGATATAACACTTCGGTTTTATTTTGTGGGGGGAGGGGGAATGAGATTGTAAGGGTTTTTCTTCGTGATACCAACCAATTCTGACACCAACTGGTCTATAATTCAATTCAATTCTAACACTAGCTACCTCGAGTTTGCATCAGATTCCACAGGTTTGAGGGTTCAGCCCCCCGAGACTGCCCTCACTTCAGATGCCAGTCCCAAGTACCAGATCCCCAGGCAATCCACACTTCTCTCCCACTTGGCTAGAGTCGGTGCTTCCGCATCCCCACGCCCGAACAACGTTTGGCGATTTCCTAGAACGACTCAAAGAATTCAGGAAAATACTTTCCTTACCAGCACTGGTTTATCATAAAGGATACAAATGAACAGCCAGATGAAGAGGTGCACCCGGCAAGGTCCGGAAGGGTCCAGGGTGCGGGAGCTTCTGTCCCATGGAGTTGGGGAATGCCCATCAGCCCAGCACATGGACGAATTCCCCAATTCAGAGGCTCTCGAACCCCAGTGTTTGAGGTTTTCATGGAGGTTCATCACATAGCCTCCTAATTGGCACGGCCAATTATTCATTCAATCCCCAGTCCTCTGTTCCCGCCACAGAGGCTGGGGGGTGGGGTGAAAGTTCCAGGCTTCCAATCAGGGCTCAGTTTTGCTGGCGACCTGCTGCCGTCCTGAAGTTATCCAGGAAGGCCCAGCCAAGAGCTGCCTCAGTTGAACAAAGGCAAGGTGTTTCCACTACCTCCGTCTCTCAGGAAATTACAAGAGATTCATGAGCTCTCTATTGGGAATGGGGACAAAAACCAAATATCTTTCTACGGCACCATAGGTTGACAAAGATTAAAAAGACAGGTGGTATGGTAGAAGTTGAGATTCTACAATGAAACTGCCTGGCTTCAAATCCCACATCTGCAAAAATCTGGGGAAATTTAATTTTGGGCAAACTTAATTTTCACTAAACTTCAGTGTTCCCATCTGTTATATGGGGAATGGTTCCTATGGCTATTGCCAGGTCATAAAAGATAACATGTTTTTAGTGCGTGGCCATGACAAAGATGAGTCTTTTTCATGTGGATGGATTCTGATCCCCAACAGAATGTGAGGAAAGATAGGTTGTTTTCTTGTAATGATACAACCATTTCAACATCAACTTCAACTCACCAAGACCTTTACTCTTACCAACCTATACTTTCCTCTGGGAAACGAAAGGAATGTAAATTCCAGGTTTTGTTTATATTTAATTAAGAAAATGACTTCCAAATATTCAAAATAGTAAAATATTAGTTCTAGACTTCTGAGGTTCTAACTACAGTTACAGTAATTACTTGTTCATTGACTAGAAATGTTTTTCAGTATCAGGTTAGCATTTTGAGGAAGAGAGTCTTGAATATTTAATTTTCTTTAGCACCTGTCTTATTTTCAGGTTCAGGTTTGAGAAAAAAACAAGAGATTCAATGGACAATGAAGAAAATCCCAAAATTCAAATAACTTCGTTCTGATAAAATGTCTACCCCATGTGATGAACTGAAAAACAGATACATGGGACTGAAGAAGCCAGAGCCTTTCCTGGTGACATGGACTGACTCTAACCGTGAATGGACGCTGCGGTCGAGACATGCTTGTCATATAGAAAGTTCTGGATGGCTCTTCCAGATAATCTCTTTATTTTTTAAAACTAACATTTGTAGACAGTCCTCCTTACTAATTAATTTGATGAAATGGGTTTATGAGATTGTTTGAAAATGTGTCGGTTAAGGACTGGTCAATGCATATAAAGATTAACACTCAGCTCCAAACATACAACTGCTACCCAAATAAATAGAATGTCATTGTACCGGCACAACTATCAGGTGACAGTAGTGCACGAGTGCGTGTGTATGTGTGTAAGTGAACCAGCACATTTAAAATTATAGTCGTTTCTGAAGTGAACTGGATACTTTTATAATCAGATGACTATATGCAGCATTCCTAGCCAGAAAATTTTATACACTCCTTTGAGAGGAATTGATGACAGGCGTTAACAGTGTTTTGCAAGAGATCAAGTAGCCTGGCTCCTGTGGCCTGTGGGCCTTTAAGAAGGGAACCGATGCAGGTCGTAGCTACAATGTCAGGGGCTATAGCTCACAGACTATTAAATAAGCCACCTTTGCTGTGCTCTTTTTGAGCACGTGACTAAGCCTTCTGTTTCCTCAGACTGGCTTAAGAGCTATTTTCCTGGTCAACAGAGAATCAGCATAACCAAAGAACAGACTGGCGGAGATGGTTTGTGTACCCCACAGCCAAGCAGGGTCAGCACCCAGGAAGAAGGCTGTCCCCGCCAACCATCTAGGGAGCCTTTTAAAACACTTCTTTCTGTTAACACACCTTCCTAAGCACGGTCCGCAGCTGTATCCTCTCCAACCAGGGCTGCATCTGGCCAGCAATAGCGGAACCTCTGTTCCATGAATGAGAGGCGTAAAAGGTAAAAGCCACTGTAAGCTCGGAAAATAAATGTCAGCTCGGTGTCGCACCATGTTGTAGGCAGGCCGAATGGTAACACAGCAAGAAGTTACTCAGGGAGACTTGCGGGCAGCGTGCTTTCATAGGCAGTGGCGTCTTTGAGAACAGCTTGGAGACAAGCTACTGATGACCCTTCAACTTACCCAGGGCTATGGTGTCTTCATGGAAATAGGCAACCACTGGTTTTTAATATACTGCATGGTGGTATCCTCTCCTCAAAATAATTACCCCTGCATGTTAACTTTCACTGTCTAAAACACTTTTCAAATGAACCTTTGACGTAACATCCTGACACACTCATTGTTCCACTTATTGATGGATTCATGGGTGACCCCCTGACCCGGGATCAAACCTGCGATCTTGGTGTTTGACGCTCTAACCAACTGAGCTACCTGGCCAGGGCAACACTCATTTTGAAATTCTTATCTTAAAGTTTTCTGATTAGCTCAGAACTTTTTCTCTGTACTGCCATATTTCTATTATGCATTTTATATCCTACTGACACACTGATCCTACATTTTGGTTGTTACTTAAAATCCACTAGAATATCTTATAATAATAGTCTGTGCTTTGTCACTGGGGACACAGGCGACAGTTTTATCCGGCTAGCGCTTTTATCTCCCCAATCCCTGCAGCTTGTCTGATCGCCATTCCACCTACCCCGCCGGCACCAGGCTGGCTGCCCAAAGAAAGGACGCCATTCCGACCCCAAGAGGCTCTCCTTGAACTCCATTCCCACCAGCAGTGACTGCGAGCTCCGCTGTGCTCTCTGGTTGTGTTAGCCTCACTCGGGTGGGCTCATTTCTTGTTACCCCCATCCCCACCTCCACATGGCTGTCAGCCTTTTGGAGGCTGGGCGCCTTGCCCTGCTTATCTTTGGATAAATATTTATTTTAATTAAATTACCCTATAACCCTAGCTTGATAAAATGTTATTTTTGATACATAGATATTTGCATATTTAAACACCTGAATAAGAAAGTGCTCTTTTTCTAAATATAAAAAGGATGTGATAACTACCTTTTATTGCTGTTTGTATGGGTGCTTTATATTATTTAATAGGAAGAGATGACTTTTTTAGTATGTTTCTAAAAAGGCAACAAGTACCCAACTGATTATCTCTTTGATAGTTCAAAGACCAAACTGATCAATACATGCCAAAATAGTATTGTTTAATTCAAAATATATTCCTGATTTTTAGAAACTACTTTTAAAGTTGGTCTACAAAGCAAGTTCCTAAACTTGCTTGTGAACATCAGTCTCGGACTGACAGCCAACATCACGCCGCACCTTAGAGTGACGTGCTAGAGGCATCCCGTCAACAGAAACTTGATGGATATGTGTTTTTAGCACTCGTTCTTTTCAACAGTTTTGAGTAGGTTTTATTGTAGTCATGCCATTCTATTTTTTAAATTCAAGAGAATTAACTAAAAATCTTAAACTTAATAGGTTCAGTTCAAGTGGAGGCACATAAGAAGTACTTACTTTTTATGGACTAGAAATACCCAGCTAGAAAATGTACTGGAAAAAAACTAGGTTCCATTCATAATAACCATAAAAATATAAAATACCTAGAAATAATGTTAATAAGAAATAGATAAAAACTAAGTGGAGAAGTTACTCCGTTTTATTAAGCCTTGAATAGAGACGTACCGTGGTCCTGAAAGGGTAGCGTGAGCGTTCCCCTAGCTAATGGGGCCTCCTCTACCTGCCCCCACCATTTAGCTCCTCGACCTCACCTCCTATTACTCTCTCTGTTGCTTTATTCCAGCTTCCCAGGTCTTGCTCCTCTTTGAACATGCCTCACGTGCTTCTGTAAGTTCCCCCTACTGGAATCCTTTTCCCAGGTATCTCCTTAGCTTACTCCCTTGCTCCCTTTATGTCTTTGCTCAAATGTTGCCTGCTTAATAAATCCTTACCTGACTCTATTTTAAATGGTATCCTGTTCTCCCTCTATCCTAACCTTATCCATCCCTGCTTCATTGTCCTCCATAGTTCTTATTTCCCTCTGACATCCTAACTAGTTTACGTCTTCATTTTGTTTACGTCCTTCTCCTTCCTCACCGAAGTGCTTCCTTACATGCCATGAGGACCACTTCTGTATCCCCAGTAGTTAAAACAGTACTTGGCACATAGTAGGTGCTCAATAAATATTTGTTAAAACAATGAATAAGTATTATTATTATTATTATTATAGTTAAAGGGGCAAAAGTAATTATGAGTTTTCAAACAAGAAAACATTGCTCAATAAACACAGAAAAAAGTGTTCTGCTTCACCAGTAACTAAAAGAATATAATCAATGTGACAATGTGATGCCATTTTTCAGCTCACACATTGCAAAGATCACAAAATGACCATATTTGATATTGATGAGTGTGTGATTGAATGCACCCTCATATTCTTCTGGTGGGAATGTAATTTATTTTATTTTTTCAGAAAACAGATTGGCAAAGTGTTTCAGAGCCTTAAAATGCTTGGATTTTTTTTTTTTTGATGTGTTAGCTCTACAACTAGGAAATAATCAGAGATATATGTAATATTTATGCACATAGATGTTTCTCACAGAATTATTTGCAATTTAAAAAAAGTAGGTATGGCCTAGACCTGGCCAGTGTGGCTCAGTTGTTTGGAGTGTTGTCTCATTATCAAAAGTTTGCATGTTCAATTCCCCGTCAGGGCACATGCCTCCGTTGCAGATTTGATCCTCGGTTTGGGGGCGTAAGATCTCCTGTCTGGGTGCATGCAGGAGGCAACCGATTGATGCTTCTCTCTCACATCGATGTTTCTCTCTCTCCCTCACTCTCCAAAAGCAATGAAAAAATGTCCTCAGGTGGGGATTAAAAAAAAAAAGTATGGCCTAAAAAAGGAGGTGAAAAACTTGTACACTAAAAATACAAAACATTGCTAAAAGAAATCAAAGAAGATACAAATAATTGGAAGGACCTCCATGGATTGGAAGACTCAAATGTCATGAAAATGCCCATGCTAACTGAAGTGATCTAGAGACTCGATGCACTCTCTATCAAAATCCCAATGGAATTTTTGCAGAAGTAGGGAAAAAAACATCCTAAAATTCATATGGGATCCCAAGGGACCCCAAATAGCCAAAACAATCTTAAAAAAGAAGAACAGAGTTCGAGGCCTCGTAGTTTATGATTTCAAAACATACTGCAAAGCAACAGTAATCAAGACAGTGTGGTACTAGCATAAAGAAAGGCATGGAGACCAATGGAACAGAATAAAGAACCGGAAGTAAACCTGTGCATATATGACCTAATGATTTTCAACAACGATGCCAAGACTACACAGTTTCAACAAATGGTTTTGTTAAAACTGCATATGCACATGCAAAAGAATGAATTTAGACTCATACCTTATACCATATATAAAAACTAACTAAAAAATTAAAGACCTAGCCCTGGCTGGTGTGGTTCAGTGGATTGAGCACAGGCCTGTGAACCAAAGGGTCACAAGTTCAATTCCCAGTGTAGGGCACATGCCTGGGTTGCAGGCCAGGTCCCCTGCAGGGGGTGAGTGAGATGCAACCACACACTGATGTTTCTCTCTCTCTCTTTCTCCCCCCTTCCCCTCTCTAAAAATAAGTAAAAAATCTTTAAAAAAAAATTAAAGACCTAAAACTATAAAACTCTGAGAAGAAACACTTCAGGACATTGAGTTTGACAATGACTTCCTGGGTATGACACCAAAAGCACTGGTAACAGAAGCAAAAATAGACAAATAGGACCACATCAAACTTAAAAACTTCTGAGTGTCAGAGAAAGCATCAGAATGAAAAAACGACATATGGAATGAGAGAAAATGTTTGCAAATTATATATCTGACATAGGATTATTATCCAGAATGTAAAAGGAACGTTTACAACTCAACAACAAACAACTTGGTTTTAAATGGGCAAAAGAGCTGAACAGACAATTCTCCAAAGAAGACGTGCAAATGGCCAGCAAGTATATGAAACCTTGCTCAACATCGCTACTCATGAGAGAAATGCAATCAAAGCCACCATGAGATATCATCTCAAACTTATTAGAATGGCTGCTATCAGAAGAACAGAAAACAGAATGTTGGCAAGGACGTGGATAAATTGGAAACTTTGTGCATTGTTGGTGGGAATGTAAAGTGGTGCAGCTACTATGGAAAATAGTATGGAGGTTCCCCCAAAAATTAAAAATAGAATTACTATATCATCAGCAACTCCACTCCTGGGTTTATATAAAAATATAATTGAAAGCAGGATCTCAGAAAGCTATTTGCATTTGAGTCTTCACTCTCATTCGAAGCTGCTGAATTAAGATACAGGAGAGAAAGGAGATCATTATGCGTTGGAGAAATACATGTGTTGTCCAAGAGCCAAGTGGGTTGAGGGTCCAACTATGGTTGGAAATGTAAATTTGTTGAGACACCAAATCACGTGGTTGTGTAATATTCTCCAGGGTCCCAGGGTAGGAATGACATGCAGTAATGGTTGGATCTGGGGTTTTGCCATCCAGGTGAGCAGAATGACAAGATAATGGAGGAAGTGAGATTGACTGAAGCAAAAAACCATGGGATCCAGACTGAAGAGAAAGGGGAATCAAAAGTGTGATAACTTCTGTTGATCCTAGTATGCTATGCCCATCTACCTTCTTTTCCTTTATGTGTGGTATAGGAGAACTTGGCACAATGTGGAGATCCAGAGTGTTCAAAAAGGGAGATTGCAGGTCAGCCTCACTAAGGTGACCGGAGCAGTGCCACCTGTCTCGGACCGTTCCCCCCCTTAAAGACATGACTGTGCTGGTATGAAACCCAAGGAGGCCGAACGTAGGCAGTTGGTAAGGGTTGAGGGCTAGACTTCATTTTTCAGGATAATGAGATATAGATTAATAATTAAGAGTGTAGGCTGGAGGTAGACCAGCCAGAGTTCTAATTTAGACCTGCCATATACTAACTATAGCAACTGGGTAGATTACTTACTTCTTTTAGGTTTCTTGGTCTGTAAAGCAAAGACAATACAAATATACATTTCATAACACTGTTGGGAGGACTCAGTCATGCCATGGGCTATTTTTAGCGTTATTGTTGCAATAATAACAATAGCAAGCAGGTTTACTACTTGCCCAGGGCCTTCTAATTTCCACCTTAACCTAGCATCTAGCTCAGAAGAGCGAATTAAGATCATCAATAACTTAAATTATCCAAATTTAACTCATTTGAAACTTCTTGATATCTTCCAATGGAATCTTACTCTAAGATGGCTTGCCCATAGGGAGACCTACTTCTGACGTATCTTCTCTCTTGGGTGATTTTGTCTACACTGCGGCTTTAAATACCGTCCGCATGTGTGTCAACGTAAGAAACATCCAAACCTATAGAGAATTTTTGTGAGTTTCTTTGAGCCAAACCGACAACTGCTGGGAAGCAAAAAATCTCAGTGGATTGAGAAAATGCCCTGGAGAATGGCAGCTTTGCAGCTTATTTTATACATTAGAATGAGAGGAGGGGACGTAAATGGGGGTTAGTATGAGATACATTGGGGGTAGGTTAGGAACGGGGAGAAAGCAAAGCGGGGAAACCTCTGGAACTGGACAAAATGTAAACCGGAGAGACACATACCCCTTCCACATCGCGGGTGCAGGACAGCGACCGTTCTCGGCACACAGAGGTGGTGCTCGGGGAGCGCGGGAACAGTGAGGGCTCTGTGGTCTCGTGCTCCGGCAGTGGGAGGTCATGCCCCGAGGCGTCTGGAAGGAAGACGGCTCTGACCTCTCGCAGGCAGTCTGTCTTAGATACAAAAAGACAGTAGACAGGTTCCCACAGGGAAGATTGACCTTTGCCAAGGAAGCTACCGGCCTATGACCTGCTTTCAGTTGGGAATTTTTATGTTCAGACCATCCTATGTTGTTACTTTAGGTCTGACTTTAAGGCCCACCATGCAGGCCTCCCCCGAGCTTGTCGGGTTTCGAATGTAGCCCCTTTTTCACCTGGCGAACTCCCTAATTTATATTTTATGTGGCCCTCCCCTATGACCTTCAATCGCATATGTCCAGCTGTCTCCAAATTTATATTTTAAAATAAGTTTAAGATATTAATATATTTAAATATAAGTTTATTTTTATGCTTTAAATGAAAACTCTTGCACAGGCAACACAAGAAAAAAAATAGATAAATTGAACTACATGAAAACTTAAAACTTTTGCACGCAAAGGGACACAGTCAATAGAGTGAAAAGGCAACCCATGGAATGCGAGGAAATATTTGCAGTTTGTACAGCTGCTGAGGTTAATATCCGGAACAAAGAACTCCTACAACTCAACAACGAACAAACAACCTGAGTTTAAAATGAGCAAAGGACTTGAATAGACATTTCTCAAAAAAAAAAAAAAAAAAAAAAAATGCCCATTGCCAACGAGCTCATGAAATGATCTTCAATGTAACTACTGTTAGGGAAATCGAAATCAAAACTACAATGAGATAGCACCTTACACTCATTAG